CATCTACATCTTAGAAATTAGAATGGTCTCTAGACCCTGAATGAAACGCTCGAAGCAAGGTTACCAGATTGGGGAAATGTCCCCAAAATGTTTTCATCGTGGGGAAATAATGGGAAACAAACTGACGAGGAAATGTTTGCGGATATTTTTTTTCATCGGGAGTCAAAGAGAGAAATATGCTCACAATTAGTATGCATATAAAAGAAACAGAGGCCATTCTCTCTCATTTCTATGTAACAAAATGAAAAATAAACGACAGGCTTAGAGAGAAAAAAAGAGCAAAACGAGGATTGTATACTGCTTCGAAAAGCTTAAAGGACGAGCGGTTGATTTGAATTATCTTAATTTAAGTGGGCAGCCAATGGAATCGTCGGGGTCAGCTCATGTCATTGGTCCAAAAGTTGGAGAATGTTTTCAGTTTAAAAGTTGAGGAATTATGTTTCATTGGAAAGGTTTTAGAGGGAAATTCTGTAGTAGTGGTGGGGGAAAGAGCACGCAACACATCTGGCAATCATGGCTCAAAACAATTAATCTTCCACATGAATCACAACACCACCTTGTATGTCTACGCGGCGTTGAAAACCTCGATATTACTTTGCTCCTTGAGCAAATGGTTGCGAGAAATCATATTCTTCCTCATAATATTTGTAACGCTTACGCAATATTCATGTACATTGCAACTTAATGTAGATATACGTTTTCGCACCTAATATTCTACGATTTGTAATATTAAGCTAATTAACATTACGTTAAACAATGAGAAGGGATTTTCTGAATATCCAACTGCTACCAGGCGCCTCTGAAATTAATTTTACATACTGACACTGCCTCAAATGTAGCGCTGAAAATTCGAATTTACCATTTCAAATTATCGCATAATTTACGAAGGAAAAAAAAAAAACTATTTTCGAATGGCTTTTTCTATAAGAATTTTGAAATATTAAAGTAATATTCTTAACTCCCTGTTATCTTTACATTTAATTAAATAATTTAAAAACTGTTTCAATTCAGACTTCTATGACGTTTTCAAAAAACCCAATCCCTACGATTTTTTAAAATAATGAAGGAAAATTCTTTTGAAACGTTTAATTTATTATGAAAACCATTATAGCGTTTCAGTTGATCAAACGCGAAACTACAGTAAAATCCCGCATTTATGTTCCCGAGATTTAGTTCTACTGCTGTTTACATCGATTTCCCCCCCGTCTCTTGAATTCTCCCATGTTTACCAAGATCCCGCTTTTACACTTTTCAAAATTTAATTTCCCGCCACAGACTCTTTCCCAAAAGCTTAATATCGGTCGTGGGCCTTCGTTACGCAGCGCCCGAAATACTTAATATTTTTTTTTATCGCGTACAATTAGAAGAACCCCATTGTGTTCTAGGGAAAGTGTTATTCGGAAATCATTAAATTATTTATGAATTGTGGGTTACCTACGTTTTCACAGTGATACAGTATCACTGATGACATGATAAATTCGAACTTCCATTTCGACTTTCATTATCATTCCAGTTGGCGTATAATCCGCGCTTGTTTTCATGAGCCCTTATTTCGCTAGGCAACAGGCATAAAGAGGGTTGGTTATTTCGACACAGGACTATTTTATCAAATCTGTAGCTTGTTTTTCGAAGGAAAATAGTTTCCATTAAACGGGAGTGAACATTTCTGGTTATTAGATTTTGTCATGAACCCTCGATCACTTTTTGTTAATTCAACTAATATTAGCAAAGGAGGTAGGCGAAGGTATGCTGGGGCTCCCGAAAATTTCAGTTTTTTGGATGGCAGTGGAAGTATTAAGAACATGAATAATGTAGCTTACATAAGCATTTACGTGTGTGTGCTAACAATCGTATAACATATCTTCGTATCAGTAAAGAATCATCGTATAACATATCTTTTAGAACAGTCTGGACCTTTTTTTCTTTTTTCATTTCTCTACCGAAAAGCAAGTAAATGCAACCGCAGATTAGTGTATTTATTTAGAAAAAAAACCGTAAAAACTGTAAGTGACGTATGGAGGAGAAGATCATCTGCACACGTTTTCTTGAGTTCCAGAATTCCTTCCCATCATTTTAACTATAAAAAATTGAAAGGTGACTAAAAGTTAAAGATAAATACATAAATAAATAATTTCAAAAAGCGCGAGATAAGCAACATTCGAGAAACTAGACATTTCCGTTCTCCAGTTATAGAAAACTTATTTGCAACAGTAACAGCAATTTCATATTTTTGCATCGCTAACAAATAAAGTAACTCCCCCTTACCTCTACTTTTGCTTGTAATGATACGAGTAGAGTTCAACAAAACATGCGCATAGTTAAGCTACATGGTCCAGAAACAAAACAAGGCGCAATCTCAGCATTTGCTCAATGAATCAGGGAAACGACCAAAACCTGATAGAGATGGGGTCATTGATCCGGAAGCTGAAGTACATTATTTGTTACTAGCATATTAAGTCTTTTTTAAAAAAATCATACAATACAAATTAAAACTTATTTATTATATCACTGTTTTGTTAAAATAAACATTATTTTTCTTTTTGATGATCAGTATAGTCTCTGATGGCATAAAGAGTTATGCAGCAGAAAAGATTGAACTAAAAAACTTTTAACTTCAATTTGTGTACCGACTTCAATTATTTAATGTCAGTTATTATTGTCTTCAATAGTTAATAGTGTATGAGCCATTATTTCCTTGCTATTTCCATTTCTCTTGCAATCTTTTTATCTTCATTGGTGCTTCTTTGGGAAGAAGACAATCCCAGAATAAATGTTACGAACTTCCAGGGTATGTAGTGGGGCATGAGATTATAACTTTTGTCAATGAAATCTGGGATGAATGGGAAATCTCTTAACAAAATTACACATGACGTTTGCTCCTTAGTGAAAGGTAACTCATCTTGCACTGATATTTGTCAGGAACACAAAATGTATTTGAGTCAGAACCAGTTTATACCAGCCGAACACTAGAACACAATGACTTACGTACTAATCACATGTAACTTCGTGAGTTCTTCTACGTGTTCATTGACAAAAAATGAACTTCATTCCCCCCTCCCCCCCCCACATACACATCCTAAAGTTTAAGTTTGTAACATTTTTCAGTCATTCTGTAAACTATTTTTTTTCTTCCTAATTATCATTCTTGTGAACTATGCTTTCATAGATCGCACAATAAACTATGTACAGTAATGTATTAGTTTGGTGTGGTTCATTTGATCATACAATAGAAATAGCATATTTTGAAGTGTATGACTTAACGAGCACAACAATTTCTCATTAAAGATTACTACCATTAATAAAAGTGGATTATTAATGTTCTGTATTATATAAGGAAAGGTAATTTCCTGCCATTCAGTTTCCCAGACTGACAAACTTTTTTCATGGACCTATTAAAAAAAATAAAGGTTTACTCTACATAAAATATGATTAAAGAGAAAATTACAAAGAATAATTTAAAACCAAGTTGTTTACCCCCACTTGCTGCGACATCACATTAGATATCAATAAAAAACAAACAAACTCATTTTAATATTCAAATATCAAGGGGGGAAAATTAATGGAAATTAAAATCTGTCACTTTTTATTCCTTAAGAAATATCCTATAACAGAATTTTCTTTCTAACATAAAATGCAATCAAAACTGCAATCTCATTTTCTGAATCTCTTGTCTTAAAAAAAAAAAATCGCTTTTCCATTTTTAAATGAGAAAGCAATTACAATAAATTCAAATTGAAAGATGAAGAATGAAATGACAAAAGGTGCGTTTTAAAATAATATTCTAATATGTTACCTACATAAAACATGTCCTGCTCTGATCTCTAACGCTTGGTACCACAAGTAAAAACAAGTTCCAATTCATAACAACTGGATACGTTTCCTGGCAATTCTTTATTTTCAAAGCCATTTGCTTACAACACAAAGTGCCATAATTAATGAATCCCAATGCGCTTATCATGCATTGAAATGCCATGTACATTAATTAATTGAGCAATTTATTGAAATATTTTACAGAAAAAAGGACTAAGTATAAGTAAGAAAGGAAGTGAAAGAGAGAAAGAAAGAAGAACCTTTTAAATAATTTCAGGTTTTAAATAATTGCTGAATTACTCTTTTTGACACAATTTTCATACTTGTTAATTCCAAGTCACTTCAAAACCATATCAGATATTGATAAAAGAGTAACACTATCACAAAATAAGAAATATTATTAGATTAATTATCACAGTTTGCGAGAGGGATCTTAAATTAACCAATTGCATAGATATAAAATAATCTTTCACAAAAGGCTACAACTGAATATCATCAAGAATGAACTTGTACTATATCAAATAAAACTTCCTGAGAGAAGTTTCAATCAAAACCATTACTGTTACAATATTATTGCAGTGATAACCTACTTGCAATGATACCAATCCAGTCATAAAATGTACATAATTATTATGTAAATCAAGTCTCTAACTGAACTTAGATGATGTAAAACTTACCATAATTCTCACCTTTTATTAATTTTATTAATGTATATCTCACTACATCGCAAACCTATGTGTAGAGTACCATTGGTACACCTTGTATTTTAAACATTAATGTAAGAAACAATGTCCAATTTAGTAATTACAAAACTATACTAGTAACGAAATACTCTGTATACCATAAATATTATATATTGGTTTACTTCAGCAGACTTTGGTAGGTATACCTTAAAGTGGTCATTATTTTGGCAAATAAGCTAAAACAGCTTGTACTAAAAGATGAAAGGGAAATTAAGAAATATATTATCTAAAATGATTTTAGGTTGTACACGTTTTTAACATTCCTTAAAAAGCCATATTAACTCTTGAATGAGTACACTACTTTTTCAAAATTGACATTAATCAACATCATACAGAAACACATATACACAAAATAGGTGAATATTAATGTACCCTTTTACTTTTCGATATTTTACAAAAACCTGTTGTAATGAAACAATTGAGAATATATGTTGTTTATTAACTTACCTATAACTGTAATGCACCTCTCTTGCAGAGTCTGATCCTTTGCTTTCTGTGATATTTGAACATATGACCCACTTTCTTCTTTTATTTGTTTTATATAGTTCCCTGCCTTTCCTATTATCATACCAGCTGTGCTATTAGGAACAAGTATCTTCACCTGTATATAAGATAAATTTATTGTTTTCTGAGTCATTAACAACAACAAAACAACAAACATGTATACACAGTATTTCAGAAAATGTGCAAAGGGATAGTGTATTCCTTTATTACTCTCTATCTAATATAACTGATCTCGTGGAAGGGATCAGATTCTTAGATTTCAACAATTTTTTTTATGCTTCCAAATTTAATTATTCGCAGTATTTCTCAAAGTTATGGATCTGGATTAACAAATGCAAGTTTCAAAAAACCTAAATACACCACAAAGCCTGAAAAAAAAAGATATTAACAACTCTAGCAGAACCTTTTTACCAGCTTGGATTAAAATAATAATAATAATAATAATAATAATAATAATAATAATAATATTAAAAAAAACGTCCATATCCCCCCCCCCCCACAGAATGTACATTACAGATAAAAAGTGGGTCAATTAAGATATTAATCAGACCACAAACTATTCCAACAAAAATTTGATTGCTTCTCTGTGACAAAATTGAATTTTTTTTGTTAACATGTAGCATGGACTGGAACCCAGCTATAATTTAACTGAGTGAATCATAATATTCCCAAGATAAGGTATGATAGCAGCAATGATAGTTAACAATTTTGTTATGTACAAAGAAATCTCAATACAGATTTAAAACTTGTACATTACCATTATGACTCTTCTGTTCTTTTAAGAAGTACACAGTGTAGAACAATGCAAATTGTATTCAATCTATTATTGCACAAAAGGTGCCTAGAAGGAAGTCCATGCAAAAAGGAGTGAAGGCTACATAAAATCTTGAATATCACCAAGTTGACTGTACATAATTTATCAATAATCATTTACCAATGAATTAGGTTTTCTGATAATTTTGCCTTTAGTATATATATTATTCACTTATAAAGTGTTCTTGTGAAAATTTGAGATTGTGCACAATAAGCTAACAACTTTGCATAGTACATATTTTGTGATTTCTCTAATAGATATCATGCCAAAAATGTGGCAACATTTGCAAGTTTTTCCACGTCTACACTTTCGGCAGCTCATGAAAACATCTTGTGCGTAGATGCTAGAAGCCAGTCATTCTTATAAATATGTAATACACATCTGAGAACGAAAGAATTTTTCCAATATATCGTTGCAGCTGTTGCACAGAAATTATCCCTTAGTCATTTTATATACTGTAGTATCAGGAGATTCTTTCTGACTCCTAATAAATATTTACTTTACCAATATATTTGGGAGTTAAGTCGGTGAATTTTGTGTACAAATTAGGAGGAGGATCTCCTTCACTATAATACGTGCAATAAATTTAAGAGGCTGAAGGTCATTTTCTAGGACTCCCCACTACTAGCTCTCACATCACTAAACTTTCCTGTGCACCTAATTCTGCAATCATCCAACTTCCGCTTATGTGTATTCCGCTGTGTACTGATAGGGGAACATGCAACTGAGTGAGGAATGCAGAAAGGTGAAGTGATCTTAATGAATTGTCTCCACAAGTCATCAGTTTTTTATCGACAGATATGTGCAGCTAACATAGCTATAAAATGTATGTAAGAATGATAATGCTCTGCATTGCTAGTTTCAAGGACTGGTTTCTTTACACATTATGATTTATGGCAAAGAATCCACTACTTAATTGTTTTAGTGATGGACAGCAAATATTTTCTTTAGGCAGGGGGGACCTAAATTATATATCTTTGTTGTTCTTCAGTAGTTCCTTGAGAGGTTATATCAGTGAATGCGATACACATACATAGCTGAAGATGATAACCTTTTTAGCTCAAATTAATTGCTTGTCATACTAAGGGCTCGCACAACATGATCATGGTTTTCATAGGGGGAAATCAGAAGGAAGGCATAGGAGGTAATTCACTAAATATTAGTATCCCAGTGTATGTCATACTCTTCATTATTCTCCTCTAGGCTTCTGAGTACTTCTTAATCCTTCAATATGGAATGCTGTATTGGGACTATATGTTGCTTTCACCTCCACTAGCGACTCTCCAGACATCATGGATTTTCAGAGACTTTTTTTGTTGTAATGTTACAGCAGTCCAGATAGAGTTTGCTTTATAGGGTTAATCCTACATCAGCCTGCTAGTTGGTGAATTATCTGTATCAAGAAGAAATATACTGTGAACAATATGTCTCGTAGTTCTAACGAGTCTTAGACAAGGGGTTCAACTGCCATTGTTAATCTCCTTTAGTGGAATCCAAATGAGACCACCTCCATGGTGTTTTCCAATCAACATATTTACTAGTATTACTAATAACTTTAATACTACTTTCAAAGAAAATATAACTCTTCTGTGTGTCTAATCTCTTCTTTGTCATTAAACTCTTCATAATTTGTGTTAAATATTTATATTTTCGTTTTTATAGCATTTACCTCCACAATCTTCAAAATGAAGCAAGTTCTGCACATTTACTACTTACTGTGACCTCTAAATGAACTGTGTGTTTCAAACAGTCTTCATTAAGGCATACAGCTTTAAAGTGAATGCGTTTTTGAATTTTAGGTACAGTGAAAGGGGTCCCGGTATCAGTCTTGTCTTCCTCCAATCCTTGCTTATAATACTAACAGTGTGCCATAGGTTTCCATCACCTAGTCAAAATTCTATTATGGGGAAGTTTCAAATACAAATTATGAAGCTGAGTGCCCTCTTGAACTTCACAGCCAAATATCAAAGTATTAATTTGTTTAAGCAGTAGCCTGGCATTCAATGACCTGCCACTTATCACCACACTGTTACCTGAAATACTCTAATACCAAATAGAAATTACCAAATAACCTTGCAATATTGTCAAGATCTATAGTGGATTTACCAGTAAATATTAATGGCATTTATCTTTAAAGAACCAATTTCTTTCATCCTGAATGTACACAAATAATGAGCTAAATATAAAATAAAGCATTTACTATAATAGAACGATTCACACCCTTCAATGTTAACAACTACACTGGTTCATAAGTATTGGTCAGGTTGCAGACAATTAAAAACACACTAATAAGGTTTGGCCACGTTTTGGAATTTTTTTTTTATCCTCAGGGCTTTGAAGTACGAACAGTAACATGTTATAATTCTATCTAGAAAAGAAAGTATACATAACTATTACAACATCCTTAATCCTAAAAAGGATACAGAGGTAACATGCTACACCATTTCTTTTAGTTTGCAGATTTTGCAAATGAATATTGGCAAACATTCAATTGGCAAGCATTCAATTATGTGCAGTCTCCTTTGAGGTTAGGATCTGTCTGCAGCTTGTGTTGTTATTCATCTTGCACTTTTGAGTAAGAAATTAGAGCTAAGTTGTGGTAACAAAATACCCTTTGTATGTGTATGCATGAACACACTCCCCACCTCCACCTCAAAGACAAAATCAACATCAGTGATTTCACTTTTCACAATGGAGACTATTTTGATACTCTCTACTATGCACTCTTGATACAGCAAATAATGAAGTATTATATCCAAGAGTTTTAACAGGGAGTGTGGGCCCCAAATATATTTTTAAAAAAATAAAAAGAAAAAAAGAAAAAAAACCGAAATTTTGTATTTATTATTTGCGTGTAAATTTTGGAGTAATGGATCATCCCACATATCCATCTACTAGTATTGCATTCTTGTATCCTTTCTAGGGTTAACCACCATGAAGCTCTACAAGTCATAGGAACACCATAGTGTGGTTCCTGTAATTGCCCAATTTAAATATTTCTCCAGGAATATTCCAATTGCCATTTTAAGAAAATAACTAACTATAAATATATTGTAAGATTTCAATATAAGCTTCCCACAAGGGCCGAATTCATTGTCGTCACTTATAGGATAAGTGAATCCTTAAGGTGGTTAGAGCGAGATAAGTGTTCTGTTTAACATGCCTTTTTATTGTCTTAATTTAAAGATGAGAGGTTCATCTATGTTCTGATAGAGTATGAATCGATTTCACCGTCCAGTTTTTGCGTAATGAGACCGTAATGTTTGCTGTTTTAACATGGGCTCTAATGGGGACCTGAGAGATCTGACCTGAACTTTTAAAAATGTGAGAAAATTAACAGTTGAACATGCTTTTAAAAACTTTTCTTTTGATACCTAGCATCTCGAAGAATCAACGTGCGCAGTTTGATGGAAATCTACCGTTTCAAATGGGAGAAGTTTGCAAAATTATAAGCCTAAATCAGTCCAAAGGGAGACGTTCGCGCGCTTTCTTGAGGGTCGGGACAGTGACGCACATCTCGGCAACACCGCGCGCTCAACGCGCTTTATTCAAATCGAGTGACAAGACCTTGCAGTACATTCGTACATTCCTCTGGATCTTCTGGGATCAATTATATCATCACTCCTGGAGAACATTGCGTTTGATAGTAACCAGATATTCAAAAAATTGGAATTTTATGGATATAACGTTTAGTGCGATCTGAATGAAATTTTAATTCAATTAATATTCCCAATGACTATTATTGAGTATTATTGTTTTGTATTGTGCCGTACGTCAGTTTCTTGCTCCTGAACAATGATTATTTATTCAATTATTCGAAAATTATTCATATTCTCTTATTTATTATGGAGATACACAGTGGATTGTCATTGTCTTTTGCATCACAGATGCTTACGTAGAACTCAAAGCAACAATCTTTAGCATAGATCAGCACCTCAAACTGTATTGCTACTCAGTGGGCATTTAATTCAGAAAGAAATAGACTTTGCAGAGGCTTCAAATATATTGCAATGATAAAATACTGTCTTGCTGGTGTTAATAAAATACTGGGGTTAAAAACATTTTATGAAATGTAATGGTAACCATTCAATGTATAGGTGAATGCAGAGCTGGATTTCCTCCTAGCAAAATTATGCTTGGAGCTCCCACCCTCGTGCCCGTTTTTTTAAAAATAAATATTAAAAACTTCATATAATGTTTATATTTGAATAAGCATTAATCAAATAGATTACTGAAGAACAATTTCTGATTTTAAAAATAAATTGAATGGAACAATAAGAAACCAAACATGTATTTGTAAATGATAAATTTAAAAAGCAATTTCTACTTTGAAAGCAATTTGTTAATTTACATCTGTATTGGAGCAATGATTTATTCTAACGTAATTACTGTTTTTTAGATTTATTCATAGATAAAAGCTGGTTAAAATGGTATTATTGACTTTTACTGTATTTAACTTGCTGTATAAGTCATTTACTTTTTGTTTTACAGTTAGGATTAAATGTTTTTGTTGTTGAAGAAAAAGGATACGATGAAACACGTGCAGTCAACTAATCGTATATACTTCATGCAAAAAAGTCCCATGCATGAAGGCAATATGTTACATGTGTGTGTATTACTAGGTAATTAAATGTTTTTTTTCATATTTTATAAATGTATGTTACAATACTAGTATTGAATTTTGTTGTATTTAATGTTTCTTGTATAAGCCATTAATTTTTTGTTTCATAGGATTAATGATGATGATGATGCCGTAATTTGTACTTCACAGCCATGAAGATAGAATTACATATTCCAAAACACTGGCAAACTATAGTCACAACCAAAACATTGGTAAACCAAAATATAATGATTAAATTTGCTTTAAGAGTTGGTTGCCTCACCCGGGACTCGAACCAGGGCCTTCTGGTTTATGCCCAGCTGCTCTAACCACTAAGCTACTGAGACAACAAATCCTTTGAACAGTTTTCACGAGCGCAATTATCGCTCCTTGTATATATTATATACAAAATAATTATTTACAAAACGTACTGTTTCTATTTCTCTGCATTCTGATCAATGCTTATAAACGGAAGTACTTTCATACACTAGTTATACTTCAAAATATACAGAAAATGACAGTTACCTGCTTATCACGTTCTGCTGCTGTCTTATTATCAAAGTCAATAGCTTGCTTTGCATTGAGATCCGGCTTTTCTCTGATTTTTTCCATAATGAAGGTGAGAACGGCCATAATTGCATCTACATTGCCAGTAATTAAACACACACGTTCTGAAGTACCTGCAAAGCAATGTTTAACCATATATTAAAATATTTTTTTAAAATTTAAAAAAACGTTCAACACAGGCAGTTCCTAATTCACAGACGTCTCCTCCTGTATTGAAAAACTCCTTACGAAAACTTTATATAGTTGAAAGCATGGACAATATAGAATGAATAAATGAAGATAATACTCATGTGAGAAAGTTCATTCCCAGTCTCGCTTCAGCAATTTGTTGTTGGAAATTAATCCATTCTGTCTGATGAAGAAAACCATCTTCTCCTGTCCCCTAATTTTTTCCAACAAATTCATATTTTACGCAACTAATCAAGGATTCAACTATGGCAGCTATATA